ATTTTGTTAACTGATTAACTTGTGGCCCTCTAAACTTAAATTTAACGTTAAACTGATTTAACGATATTTTTTTTCAAAATGGCAGCCATTTTAAACCGAAAGTGAATTTCACCAAAACAAAACACTAAAAAAATTATACTTCGTCTTCATCGGGGAAAATATTGATTAACGCATGTCATTTCATCATTTTAAAAGATGATTTTTCTAAAATTAGCCAGTAACGAAACTGAAAATAATAAAAAATCTAAGTGTTATGCCAAACAGGAAGTGAAAGTTATATTTTAATTTGTTAAAATTATATACGTTATCAGTTTTTGAATATGCAATTGGCATGTTTGACTATTTCATTAAACCAAATGAACAACATACCATTCTCGAAATGACGTGTCAAGATAAAAGTTAAACAATGTTAAGAGCGGGGGTCTGTAAAAATCGACCATAGGTGTGCAAAATATTTTAAAAAATCGAAATTTTTCTTACTTAGCCCAAATGTAGGTCCACATGAACTATTAATGGGAAAAATATTAAAAACTTTATCAGATTTTTATTTTAGGAGAACGGCGCGATTTTCTGTTTTTCTGGCTGAGGACTACATATCAAGGCCTTTTCACCGCACCTCACAAAAAATTCTATTGAAAAATAATCTCGTAACCATAACGATACCATAACTTATCTAGGGGACTTATCTATTTCCAACACCATTGAGGGGAGCTAGCTTATTAAAGGGAGGGGGGCTTAATGATTTTCCGTTCCAAACATAATCACTATCCGGGTCTAAAAAGCAGTCTTCGTGTGAGAGCCTGGATTTATAAGTGGCTTACCGTGTACTGAAAGATATTCGAAAACATCTGCGCCGCGTCTGCACGGTGCCGGGGTATATATACAGATGTACATAAATAGATTCAGGACAGGGATATGCTGAGATAGAGCCCGATACACGTCACCGACAACCCTTCTGACAGCTGCAACTTATGAGTTCCTGGCATGATCACATGACCTCTGGTAATATGGTCCACAAAGGCCTCCACAATCTAACATCAAAGGATCCAGCCCCGATCTTGAGAGCTTGAAACAAATGGGCCCGGCATCAGGGCTTGACCCCATATATGACCTGCCTGGTAAGCAGCACGTTTATGATGTGCTCTGACAAAGCTACCCTTGTGGGTGGAATGCAGCCTTAATGGGGAGGGGAAGGGGGAAGGGGGAAGGGGTGGNAAGTTATCTATTAATCTTCGTATTAGACAAATATAGTACAAATATTTGAAGGGTTAAATGATACCTCTCGAGCTAGAAAATTATAGCCGACACTGTAATCGGTTTATGTTCAAATACTGTTACGAATGAAACTGTATAAAATGAAAAAAAGGTCGCTGACTTTTAAATTCAGCAAGTGATTGTTACTTTATATTTATGCTATCTTGTACAAATGGAATTTTATCCAATTATATCGACTCTAATATATAAATACATATTAACATATTTTTTACCACGACTATCTGTTTTTAGTGAATTAATTAATTTATTGGTCGTAATGGGCTTTTAGTGGATCAAGGGTTGTGTAGCAGTAATACACTTAGCCTGCGTAGCGGCCCAGATGGGGAGGGGAGGGGGAAGGGGTGGGGGGCCTGTGGAGGAGGGGAAAAGGGGAGAGGAGAGAGGGAAGGGAGGGAGGGCTAGGTGGAATGTTGTCAAACTACCCTCCTTAATGGATAAACAACTGCTTTTCGAGCACCACAATATGACTGTTGCCATAACATAACGTTTGATGGAAATACAAAAGACTAGGTAGAGCTAAAATGATCGAATGATCGGCACATAGATACGGCAGATCTTAGACCAGAACGATGAAAAGTTCAAAGCATCTTGTTTATTACGGTAACGTGAAACGTCAATTCACAAGCAAAATATTCTTCCAAATTTGTGAAAAAGAATCGAAAAAATCTTAAAGTGGTAGAAAAATCACAGGGAGCCCAATTTAGATTAAAGCGAATGGCGAAAATGAAATCCGAAAATCAAAATAATTAATTAATTCTTAAATTCGAGATCAAGATAATGTCCTTCATCTACGAAAGTCTGTAAAAAGATAAATAAAAAATGCACTTGAATTTTTTTTCCGCGCGCGCCTTTGTTGAATAAATATAAAACGCGCGCGCGTGCTGTGTGCTGTCATAAAGCACGCGGGGGTTGGCAGAACACGAGAGAAGTGTTAGGAGAAGCACGACGCGTAATGTGCAATGTGCTCTCATAAAGCACGCGCTCCAAACCAATCAGAACGCGACATCCATAACAGTTATTTTATAATTTCCTATATAACTCCCCCATGGTATCTGATGTTGATCTTACGTTATACACCTATTTCGAAGATCGTTGTCGCACCAAGAGCCTCATGTAACAAGCCAAGGCTCCAGAGAACGTCGGTACTTTTAATTATAATTGATTTATTCATGGTTCATGCAAGTGGCTATAGCTCTACACTAATTATCATCTCAAGCAGCCTTGCTTGGAGCAATTTGTGAAGTCAATAAAGAAAAATGCACCATGAATACACCAATTACAGCTAAAAGTACCGGCGTTCTCTGCGGTATTGGCTTGTTGCTTGAGGCTTTTGGTGCGACAACGAATTCTGAAATACACAGTCGCCATCTTTGAAAAAACAACACACTTTCAACCACGATTTCATCGTCTTTTAAACCTCGAACTACCAAATACTTGATCAAAAATATCCCTGCGGTGGGGGATTCATTTATTTAAAACTCTTTTGGCTCTTCCTTCCCGATGTCTATGACCGAAATTTTCGTGCGGAACATTTTTCGCCTGAAGAAAATTTTTTTCCTGCTGAAATGTTCTGCCATGTTTTGTCAAGGTTCTTATCTGCGTAGGACTCGGGCGAGAACGAATTTCGACCTTACCACTCTCCCGCACGGGATTTTTGTACCGTGTACACGACCCACCACCAGCCACCCCACTGGGCTAGTTTTGTTCTTGAAAAATCCTTCCACAAAGTCCTCTATGGTAGACATTTTTTTTTTGCTTTTTTGGTTGGTTTTACTTTGAAAAATGAAAGATAACTACAGATAAYTCAACACGATATCAGGTTTAGTGAAAAATTACAATGGATGTCTTTCATTTAACTTGAAATTTTGGAGATTTCCCGACTTTTTCAGGACAAAACTACATCATTATGAAAGCTGGTAAGCAAAAATCAGGAGGGCATTATCTTGACTTCAAATTTTAAAAATTTAATTTTTGAATTTGAATTTTATTTCGATTTTATTTTACCGTTCACTTTAATCTGAATTAAATTGGAACAGAATTTCAAAAGGCCCTAAGTCCACAACACTTTCTAACTTTAAACACAAATTTCAAAAGCTAACTAATTATTTGGTTATTTTCTAGAGTTCTGGGGGAAATGGGGACGATCAAATTATTTTTTCAGTAAAATATGGCTTATTTTTGACAGCTTTCCATAGCAGTCCATCATGTCGACGCGCGTTGTTCGCGCGTTTTTGTTCTTGTTTACCGTAAAAAGGGTGAACTTCCACGCATACTGACGGCAAAACAAAATCGGGGACCCCCATATTTTTATTTTCTTATTTTACTTCTAGTAAGATGTAGTTTCATCATGCAAAATTAAAAAAAAAAAATTGGATGGGAACTTATGCCCATGAACTTCCTTAGGGTTTGTGAAATATAGGAAAACGATCCAAATCTTTCTTTTTCTTTTTTCTTTTAGTTTTTGAAAGCAGATTCACTGGTGGTATCTATGATATCATCAGTAAGATTGCCCCAAAGCTTGGGAACCTTAGGTCTGATAGACTTCTTTCCTTAGGTTACTGTGCGGAAGTTGGGGAGTTGAACTTTGTTGATTCCTCGAAGGTTGTATCATGACGTTGCGCTATTCGAAGAGATCAGTAGCTTAGATCTTTATGGACTTCTCCAAAACAACAAAAACAACAAAACCTAACTATTTAATTACTGTTGCCACGTCAGTTAAAACGACTTCACTCAAGAACTTATTTTATAATTTCACTTTGCTTTGATCATTGAAAGAATCATTATAAACCGATTGCATGTTGCATGTTGCATGTTGCATGTTGCATGTTGCATGTTGCATGTTGCATGTTGAAA